ATTCCTCTGGTCCAGTAACTTTGTCACTTTGTCAAAGAATGCAATAAGATTAGTCTGGCATGATCCGTTTTTGACAAACCCATGTTGGCTTTTGGCTAGTACTTTGTTTACTTCTAGGAGTTTGGGGTGTTGGAACAGGTGTGTTGATTTGAGACCTAAACATAGATCCGATTTCATATACAGTTACTGTCACATTATTGGGTGAAAAATTACATGAGGCAACAAGGAGCTTGAAGCTAAACACTAATCTGGCAACAAGGTAAATGTACTCACAGGGGAAATGGAGTTAATAGTTGCAAGTTTTGTATAAATGGTGAAAGATCTACATTGAGTGGATTAGGTAGAAAATTTACTACAGAGGGGGAAATGGAAGGGAAAATGTTTAGGAAGTACAAATGTTGGTAATAAAGTAGATGGTGAGTGATTTTGTGAAGAATGAAAAAAAGAAAAATAAGATTTATTTTTTGTATGGGAATGGGAGAGGTCAAAAGGAAAAATGAAGTTGAATGCAAGGGGAAGCTTTACTTAGCAGGACCAATGCAGCTAGAGTCAAGAATGAAGGTTAATCAGATCTAAAATGAATGTAAGATTGCATGATCAGTATGAAACAAAGTATTTCGAGGTTTTGTCATGTACAGAATATGAATGAAGATCAAATCGCAGAACAAGTATGTGAAGGATGTATGACTCAAGGGAAGGGGAAGATTAAAAAAAATGTTGTAGTTGGGTCAAGTTGATGATGATCTTAAAAGGGAGAAGTTAAGTTTAAAGACCATTGGGTTCTTCGGTTCCATTTCGTTGATGGGTTAGGTAACTTCTTCAGAGATGGACAAGCTCAGAAAAACCCTGGAACCCAACAGTTCATCCCTGAGCTACATACAGTATATATTTTTCACTGTTGGGAAGAAAAGTTTTAACAACAAAAGGCAATGTGTGAAGCCAGGCAGACGAATACGGGGGAAGCAAGAATGGTTTCTGAAGACAGGATACTATGAGATATAGTGGAGGTAGGGTAATCTATTTTTATCTATTTCTTATTCCATACATTTTACTTATTTATCTTACTATTTCTTACTTGTTTTGTGTTTGACATAAGGTTGCTCACTCTGAGATAGAAGAGCTTGGTATGTATGTATGTATGTATGTATGTATGTATGTATGTATGTATGTATGTATGTATGTATGATGTATGTATTTATTAACAGTAAGCTTTAAAAGTGTCCAGATCCTGGATGAATATTCAGAAAACCAAGACTTATTCTTTAGGTTTTCTGGTGAAAAATAAGCAATACACACAAGAGTTAAGTGGGTAAGTATATGCACATATTCACCCTTTGTATTTATCTGTAGAATTAGCTAGATTTTTATATTGTTATGCTTGTTCTTACCATTTTTTTCTAAACAAAAACAAGAACGATTAACAATTGTTGTATAAAATAGTATTTTATTTATCCCTATGATTTAGCCTATTCATTGAATCTTTATTAAAAGATTTATTTAAAAAAAACTATCATCGTAAAAAGAAAACATTCAATTCACTGTCACAAAAATCTAAACTTTGGATGTAGAATTTTAGATCCAACACAGATTAGAACAATAAGCATCTCATTAATTCCAGTGTTTCAAGAATTGTTTTACCTCTTGATTTGGCAGTGCTTTGAATGATGAATTCAGCTGGGGTTGTGAATACTAAATAGCCCTGAACTGTACAGAATTACAAGCTTCCAGTCCTATGTAGGGAGAGTAAAATAGGATCCATCACGCACAGCTTACAAAGCCTGTTTTCCTCCTGGTTGCTAGGATAAAAGGAACATTTGGTACCAAACTCCTTTTCTCTCCTCAGTTCATTCTCTCCTTCCCAATTCCAATTAGTATGAGAGGGAAGTTAGAAACATGAGCTCCAATCCAGTTTAGAGGATTAATCCATTTCTGGAACTTATTTAATGGATGAAAGGTCTTGGGAACATGTGATCCAAGGCTGCCTTTGTTCCATTCCCCCCACCCACCCACCTCCCAACATTTTCACACTTCCCTACTGCTGGCATTAGATTTCTGCATGCATGATTATCCATGTGTTGGGGTTCTCCCAAATATACTGAAACTAACTCAGGTAAAACATAAAAGCTAATTTTTATCCAGTCTCTGGACAAGCTCGCTAGGAGCTGTAGTTACAGTGCATCTAGAAATCTGAAGCAGATTTGCAAGTGTTTGCCCTAATAAACATATATAACTTTACTTCTGACTGATGAGAGGATTTTGAGTTGGTTCAACACACACACCCCCAACAAATTTTCACTGTATCACACAGGTGGGTTTTAAAAAATGCCCTCCATTATTTCAATGATTTTTGCTAGCATAGCAATCTTCTGCACTTGTCCATCATCACCCATTCTTTTAAGAAACTGGCTACTCATTTCCTGGTATCAAACCAGAGGTGGGTTCCTACCAGTTCGCACCAGTTTGGTAGAACCGGTTCGTCAAATCTACCGAACTGGTTAGAAGAGGTTCCACCAGTGGACCCGGAAAGCAGGCCACACCTACAGAAGAGGCTTTGAAAATTTTTTGAAACCCATCACTGACACACACACACACACACACACACACAGACTCACAGAGAGAGAGAAAGAGAAAGAAATAAAAAAAGAAAAAAAGAAAAAGTGAGAGAGATGAAAGAAAAAAGGAAAAAGGGACAGAGAGACAAAAGGAAGGAAGCAGAGAAAAGAGAGAGAGAGAGAGAGAGAGAGAGAGAGAGAGAGAGAGA